CCTGAGACAGAGTCTCACTCTCTTGCTTGGGCTAGAGTGCTATGACATCAGCCTAGCTCACAGCAACCTCAAACTCCTGGGCTTAAGCGATCCTCCTGCCTCAGCCTCCCGAGTAGCTGGGACTACAGGCATGTGCCACTGGGCCCGACTAATTTTTTCTATTTTTAGTTGTTTGGCTAATTTCTTCCTATTTATAGTAGAGACAGGGTCTTGCTCTTGCTCGGGCTAGTCTCGAACTCCTGAGCTCAAGCAATTCTCCCGCCTCGGCCTCCCAGAGTACTAGGATTACAGGCATGAGCCACTGTGCCCGGCCCCTAAATATGTTTAGGGATATATTTCATGCATACTTTGCAATTGTTCACATCCCACAATTATAGCACCCAGCCTTCCTTCAGGGCAACATCAATAACACACATTCCCCCAACTTAGAAATCATTCCCACCTTTATCTACTCTCTTTTGGAGGGAACATCAAGTTTTCATACCAATACGTGAACTGACCATGTGGCACTTGCCCTAAACAATATGAAGCAGGCCAATAAAGTTACTACTCTCAGGGACAGGTCACTGTCAACCACAGTGACCAGGCTATGATGGTCCAGAGAGCTCTGGGGGCCAAGGAGAAGAGGGGGCTGTCAGGGAATCTGAGAAGGCTTCCTGGAGGAGGTAACATTGAAGCTGAGGCCTGCAAAGTCAGCTAAGCATGAGATAGGAAAAAGAGAAGGCACAGAGGTGTTCTAGGCAGAGGGAACAGCAGGTGCTAAGGAAAGCTTCAAGATAGGATTGAGCATGGCCCATTCTGGGAACGCTGGAGAACAAAGCTCAGGCGGGTTGATGACGAGAGAAGCAGCTCAGGAGATGGGTGTGGCTGGATCATGGAAAGCCCGTAGCTGCATTATGGAATTGGAACTTTCTCCCGAGCCCAATGGAAGCCACGCATGTATTTTAAGCAAAGAAACAACATGGGCAAATTTTTAAAAAACATCACTTTGAAAAAGGATACAGAAAAATCAAGAGGGACTTTTTTGGGTCTTTATAATTTTCTATTTCCACAGGACTTAAAAAAGTAAGATGTATCACTATTGTAATAAAAATAAAGCCAATAAAGATATTTCAATTTTCATACTTTAAAAACCCACCCTGACAAAAGACCTGGACAGATATCTACCCAAGAAGATATACAGATGACAAGTAAGCACACGAAAAGATGCTCAACATCGCATGTTTTTAGGGAAATGCAAATTTAAGCAACAATGAGATGCCACTGTGCACCGATTAGAATGATCAAAATCCAGAACACTGATGGTACCAAATGCTGGTCAGGGTGTGGAGCAATGGGAGCTCTCACTCAGTGCTGTTGGGAATACAAAATGGTACAGCCACTTTGGAAGACAGTTTTGCGGTTCCTTGTAAAATGACACTTGCAATTCAGTAATTGCATCCCCTGTTATTTACCCAAAGGAGTTGAAAACTTATGTCCACACAAATACCTGCACACAGATGTTTGTAACAGCTTTATTCAGAACTGCCAAAACTTGGAAGCAATCAAGATGTCCTTCAGGAGGTGAATGAATAAATAAATTGTGGTACATCCAGACAATGGAATATTATTCAGTGTGAAAAATAAATGATCTATCAAGCCATGGAAACACATGGGGTAACCTTAAATGTATACTACTAAGGGAAAGAAACCAATCTGAAAAGGCTACGTAGTGTAGGATTCCAACTGTGTGACGTTCTAGAAAAGGCAAAACTATGGAGACTGTAAAAAGATAACTGGTTGCTGGGAGTTAGGCAGATGACTGGGCAGAGCAAGGAGGACTTTTAGGGCAGTGAAATATTCTGTGTGATGCTGCAATGGTAGATGCATGTCAACATGTATTTATCCAACCCCATAGAATGTACGACCCGCAGAGGGAGCCCTGATGTCAACTATGGACTGGGCGATAACAATGTGTCAATGCAGGTTCATCGATTGGAACGAATGTTCGGTGCTGGTGGGGGATGTTGATATAGGGAGAGGTTGTGTGTGCGAAGGGACAGGGGACAGGGGGTATATGGGAACTCTCTGTATCTCTGCTCAATTTTACTCTGAACCTAAAACTATTCTAAAAACAATAAAGTCTATTAAAAAAAAAAACAGCAAAGAAAACCACAACGAAAGGAAGGAGGTAAGACAAGAGGCGGGAGGCTGTGGCAGGGATCCATCGCCAGGGCTGGGGCAGGAGCGGGAGCAGAGGAAGGAGCATGGGGAGGAGTCAGCAGTGTCCACGGGAGTCAGGCTGCTCGATGGTGGGCATGGAGGGCAAGGAAGAGGAGCGATGTGGTGCCGCGAACAGAGATTTGATGAACCACCTTTGGTAGCCTGGGCGGTGCTCATGGGCCAGAGATTGCACCAGAAGATGGAGAGACAAGGTGAAGAGGGAAAGAAGAGACTTTTGTAACTGATTGAGACAAGAGAAGTAATGCTTTGTTCTTCTGTTTAAGAAGCGCCCTCTTTTGGGCATTGATTTATCACTTTTCTGCTTCGTGCATTATTTACATGAGATAATGCAATGCATAGCCACACCCAGAAAACCCACAGCCTGAACTGACTTTGCTGCAGACCAGAACACATTGGGAGGAGAAGGCCCGCCCCAAAGGCTGGAAGTGACATTCATGCGGATGAATGGCAGAGCACGAGCAGACTGAGAGAGGAGAAAAGACCTGCACCAAAGGAGGCTGGGTGTATTCAGAGGCTGATGAGCCACCGGAGGCAGAGTGGCCCTGTCATGGCCGCCTGCTATTTGTGCTTTCTGCCCCCTTCCCTGGCGGCAGCACACCCCTTGCTGCTCATGGTCCTGGCCTGGATGTTGGCTTTCTCTGCCCGCCCTGAGTCCCCGCTCCACCCTGCTCTGCCCCACTCTGTGCTCCGGGAGGCTGACTCCCATGGCCACACTCCCAGTTCCCTGGCCGGCTGGCTGCTGGTTGAGCTCGGCAGGAGATTGAGGGTACCAGGAGAGAGAGGACAGGGTGTTTGTCCCCCACTTCTTTAGCTTGCAAAAGCTGCACCCCATAAGACCACAGCAGTGCCACCCCAAGGCCCCAGCCCTAATGGCTCCTCTAACATGGGCTAGCGTGATCATGGCTTTCCTCTATTGCTAGTGCCTGGGTGCCAGAATATTCTATGATGGTTCCCTTGACCCTGCTCACATGGCTGTGAATGCTCCCGTCATTAAAGTTTCTTCAGGAGAACCATTTGAGGGAGAAACTGTGGTTCTAGAGAAGCGCAGGGACTAGCAAAAGCTGTCAACGACCGCCATGGATTGGGGTGGGTGGGCAGGGCCACTCCCTGCTGCTGTGAGGAGTGGGGGAAGGGGGCGGATCCTACAAAAAGCTGTCCTCACCTGCTGGCTTACAAGGATGTCCTCCAGAGTTGCAGACGAAACCCGAGAGGTAGAGATAGTCACCGCCTTCTGCCTCCTTGCAGGCAGGAAGCACTGGTGAGGGCCTCCGAGGAGGACATTGCCTCTGCTGGTCGCTTTTGGCCCTTTTGGGTCACTCCGTTGATGTGGAGCAGGGATGGGGGGTGTGGGGTGGGAGGAGTGCAAGGTGGAGGGATGGATGGAGGCGTCAGGAGGCTGGTAAGGCCACAGAGAAGGGCAGCATCAAACAGGGCAAGGAGCTGCTTCCTATTGTGGACACGACAACATATAAAGCTGGCTGCATTTCATAAAAATGGAATCATACAATACGTGGTTCTTGGTGACTGGCTTCTTTCACTTAGCATGATGTTTTCGAGGCTCATCTATGTTGTAGCATGGATCAATACTCATTCATTTTAATTGCCAAACAATATTCTATTGAATGGATGCACTACATTGTTGATGGACAATTGAGTTGTTTCTACTTTGTGGCTATTATGAATAACGCTGCCGTGAACATCTATGTACAAGTTTTTGTGTGGACATCCATTTTTGTTTCTTTTTGGGTATACACCTGTAAGTACAATTGCTAGCTGGGAGTACAAACGGTAACTCCATGTTTACCATTTTGAGGAACTGCCAGGTTGTTTTACAAAATGCTCCTCTGTCTCTAGTAACATTTTTGTACTTTAAAGTTATTTTTGTTTGATATTAGTATAACAACTCTAGCTTTCTTCTGGTTGTCCCTTGCCTTTTAAAAAAGGTGATGTAGCCATAAGTAATATATTATGTAGTTATGCATATTTTGAGCTTTATAGAAATGGGGTCACGGTATCAATGTAGTCTAGTTGAACTTGCTGTTTTCACTCAACCTGCTATTTCTAAGACCTACGTAAGTTGTTACATGTAGCTACAGTACAATTTATGTTCACTGCTGTATAATATTCCACGGTGTGACCCTACCATCGTTTATTGATCCATTCTCTTGTTAGTGGATATGCGGCACGTTTCCAGTGTTTGGCTACTACAACGTTATTGCTGCTATAAACATTCTTATACACCTCTCCTGATATGAGTTTCTCTTGTTCTCAAAGCAACCAGCGCTGTCACCACTGGCTGGGAACTTGTTAGAAATGCAAATTCTTGAGCCCCACCCAAGATCCACTGGGAGCTCTGGGGCTGGGTTTGGAAGTCTGTGTTTTAATCAGCCGTCCCGGTGACTCTGACATCTGATAGTTTGAGGTGCACTGCTCCAGGGCATACACTGGGAGTGAAATTTCTGGATTGCAGGCAGCTGGTTGTTTTCCAAAGTGGTTGTTCCCTGTTACACTCCGACAGCGTGTGCGTGAGTTTCCACGGAGACGCACCCTCTCAGCACTTAGTATTGCCGGACTTCTTTATTTCGCCCGCCGAGTGGGTTGACCTGACTGGTCTCCCCTGAGAGAGGCAGGGCCGTGGCGGGTGATTTCTCCTCCCCGTCTGCCTCCCACCCTTCCTCTGTCTGAGGAGCCAGACAGGGTGCTGCCACAGCATGCTTACTGGCAGCTCAGCTGTCGCTGTGGACACAGCCTTCTTCAGCGCGGGTTTGTTCCGACAGGAGTACATGCACTACCTGCTCGCCCTGGAGCACCGCGCCGAGGAGCAGTTCCTGGAGCACTGGCTGAACCCTCACTGCAAACCCCACTGCGACAGGAACAGAGTCCATCCCGTGTAAGGGGCTTGGGACCGGCCATGGTACGTCCCCTTCTTCCAGGCCTTCTGTCTGGGGGGTTGGCGGGGGACAGCATGGCATGGACTGGGGACTCTCCGCACCATGGTGTTGGGGGACCAGCCAGATAGGTGGTCAGCAGTCAGGGGTGGCAAGAGCGAGGCAGGGAAGATGGGGGAGCCGGGCTGAGGGGAGCCCGCAGGACACACAGGGGAGCCTGACCTCTGTTGAGTCCCTAGGAGATCCCGGGTGGGGCGGGATGTGGCCCTATTTGCCATTCAGAGAAGATCAGTCTGGAATCCAAATGTGGAGAAACGTGGCTGGTTGCGACTTGGGTCTCTCCAGGTGGGGTCGGCATCGTGGGAGTGACCCGTGCCATCCACGACGTCATCGCCGTCATCATCGTCACATCGCCATCGTCACTGCATCAGCAGCCTCTTTCCCGGGTCTCGCTCCCGTTCCCCCACTGCCCTCCCACAGCCACCTCTGCCTTCCCTCCTCCCTGGCCTTCCTCCTTCGGCCCATCGGCAGGGGACTGCTCAGCGTCCCCAACGCACCCCACACGCCCGCCTCTGCACCTCTGTTCCCAGAGGAGGCCGTTTGCTTCTCCCTGTCTGTCTGTCCTCATCGCCTTTCCCGCCTTTCCAAATCCTGTATATAAGGTAGCAAAATTCCTTCGGAGGTTAAGCCCAGGGAGTTTCATTTCTCCTCTGAAAGTTTTATGGGACCAAGCAGGACAGGATATAACCAGGTAGTTTATCATCTGTGGCCAGGAGAAATCTTACGTCTTTGTTGTTTATTTTGTGCTACCGTGAGAGGTTGACAGAGGGACATTCCCGTTAGAGTATCACTGTATAGTTTTCAGGTTGCTGTCACATCAAAGCTCTCATTTGATCCTCTTAACACCCCGCTGTCACTGCAGGGCATGCACTTTAACCCCATTTTATAGAAGAGCTAACTGAACGTGAGTAGGCTACTAACTCATGCTACGCGGCGGTTGGTATGTCAGTTTTCTGACAACTGCAATCCCGCATGATTCATGCAGACTATACTGCTCAGTCCTGTGTGTGGGTCAGGGGCATGGAATCCCTCAGAGGGGCTTTCACAGACAGTGAGAGGGTCGCCTACTAGGAGTGGAATAGAAGTTCTGCTTTTGAGGGGTACAGGTTGGGCCGACATCCCTCTTCTGTCCTTCTGGCCTCGGGAGCCCTGTTCGAGGTCAGGGTTCTGGTGTGCCTGGGCTGGGCTTCTGACCCCTAGGCTGCTGGCCGTCCCTGCACTGACCTTCGTCTTCCAGCGCTGGAAGCCCTTGCTTGGCTTCTTCCAGAAAACAGGAGTGTGGAGTAGTTAGATGCTCAGACTCTGGAACTGGCCAGGGCTGGGTTTGAGTCTGTGGCCTTGGGCAAGTTGCCTAACCTCTCTGAGTCTCTGTTTCTGCCTCTGTAAATTGGGGTAATAATGATGTCTAAGAAGCCTGGAACACAGTCAACAGCTCCATAGATGGGAGCACTTATTACCGTTGTGCAGTCCAGGCAAGAGGAGCGGTTTCTGGGTTGTGTGAGCCCCACCGTAGCACCCTCCAAGGCGTGACTGAGTCCTGTTCCTCCTGGTGGGACAGGCCCTGCTGGTGAGCCAGGGGTCTGGCTCCTGTGAACACAGGGTTCCCCAGAGGCCTCACTCCAGCAGCTCCCACATACACAAAGACAAGGAAGCAGCAGCTGGAGGGATGTGTCAGTTTGAAATTTGGAGTCAGCTTTCGGGGGCTGAGTCTGCCAGTCACTGGCTGAATAACCTTGGGAAAAAAATTCCTGATTATACAATTTCATCATCTGTAAAATGAGGATAGTAATAGGTCCTCCCTCACTGGTGTTCTAAGGACTGAAAAAGTCAATGCCCGGAAAATAGTGTTGCCACACACATAGGAAGTGCTCATGAAATGACAGCTGAATGGCTGTTTGCTCCTCCTTAGTCTCCTCTTCCTCTTCCTTAGTCTACTCCTTCTTTCCTCTCCTCCTCCTACTTGTTCTTTATCAACATCATCATCGCCACCACCACCATCTCCATCACCACCACCATCATGATCATCATCACTGCCATCACCACCACCACCATC